GAGGAACAAAAGGCTTCACTTGCAAGGGCTCTTCGTTCGGAAACTGCTGTTCGCAGTACGGATGGTGCGGAAGTTCGGTCGACCACTGCGGTGCCAGCTGTAACTCAGCATTTGGCACATGTACTGGCACTACTACATCAAAAGCAACTTCAGTAACGGTCAAGCCCTCTTCGACAAAAGCTGCTCCAGCTCCTTCCTCCGCGCCCACCAAGAAAGTATCACCAGATGCAACATGTGGTGGCGCCAATGGCTACACATGTCTGGGTTTCGCTGAAGGCAACTGCTGCAGTGCGAACGGATGGTGTGGTTCGACATCCGCATACGTGAGTATTTGAAACGCACACCATAACTGGACGTATACTGACTCTGACAGTGTGGAAGCGGTTGCCAATCTGGCTTTGGAAACTGCGGCAGCAACACCGGCTCAGGATCCAGCACAATCAAAAGCAGCGCTAGCAAGACTTCCTCAACAACCCCATCATCAACAGCATCTGGATCTGCTCTCCAATGCTTGAATGGAAAGAATGTTCCTTACAAGATGACCTCGGATGCTGAGTACTCTGAGCTTTCAGAGCCTTACAACCTGCGCGTTCCCTTCAAGCCGGCTGTCATCGTTCTTCCGACCACCAACCAGCACGTTCAGGATGCAGTTGTATGCGGTGCCCAAGCCGGTCTCAAGATCCAGGCCAAGTCAGGTGGACACTCTTATGCAAGCTTTAGCTCCGGTGGCAAGGATGGCGCCATGCAGATCAACCTCCAGTCTTTCCAGACTATCAAGCTTGACAAGAGCTCCGGCGTTGCTACAGTTGGCGGAGGAGTTCGTCTCGGCAACCTCGGTGACGGCATCTACACTCAAGGCAATGCTGCTGTAGCCCAGGGTACCTGCCCTGGTGTTGGTATTGGAGGCCACTACACACACGGAGGTTATGGCCATACATCGCGCAACTGGGGACTGGCCATGGACCAGGTCATTGGAGCCGACATCGTTCTTGCCAATGGAACCCTCATCAAAGCCTCGTCAACACAATCCCCCGACATCTTCTGGGCTATCAAGGGCGCAGCCGAGTCCTTTGGCGTCGTGACAAAGTTCTACCTCCAGACACGCGCCGCGCCCGCTGGCATCACATACTTCCAGTTCGCCTTCACTGGAATCCATGACTCTAAGAGCGTCTGGACCAACACCTTCTTGCACATCCAGGACGTCGCGAAGAATGCTTCCGTCGTCGACAACCGCGTCTCCTTCGGCATCTACCTCGACAACTACGGCTCCTACAGCCTATCCGGCGCCTTTTTCGGATCGGTCTCGGAATTCAACACCAAGGTCAGACCCGAGCTGCTCCGTACCCTGCCCACCGCCGAAGCAACCGTCGAGTCCATGGCCTGGTACGACTACATGGTCAAAGTGTCTGGCAAAACCAGTATCAAAGAACCCCTCACCGGCTACGACGAGCACGAAGACTTCTTCGCCAAGTCAGTCACAGTCCCTGAAGCTAGCGGTCTGACATCAAACGCCCTCAACGCTCTGTACGATTACCTCAAGACAGCCGGCTCGACAGAATACTACATCATCATCAACTTGTACGGCGGTCCCGGATCAGCGATTAACAGCAAAAACACTGATTTCGCGGCTTACGTCGACCGTGATAGTCTGTGGGTGCTACAGAACTACGGTTATGGAGGCGCGTCGATGAACTTTATCAACGGCATCAACAGTGCTATTATCAATGCGCAGCCGCAGACAAGCTTTGGTGCGTACTTGAACTATGTAGACCCGAGTTACGATGCCGCGACTGCGCATAAATTGTACTATGGTGATGCGGTGTACAGCAGGTTGGCCGCGTTGAAGCAAAAGGTTGATCCGGCACAGGTGTTCTGGAACCCGCAGGCTATTGGTGCGTAGAATTGGTTAGTTGGGCTTGTGTCAATGGTGTTTATGGGCGTTTTTTTTTGGACAGTAGTTGGAAGAGCTCCTCTTGTACATGTCGGATGATTTACAACTACTTTACTGTAGTAACTATAATGATACCTCTTGTTTCGACAGATTGAAGAAAAGTGGGCTACTAGACATTTTGTGATTCGAGTGTAGTTGCTCCAGTACCGGAAGCAGGTATCAGACGCATGAACTAATGTGGCGCTCAGAATCGGTCTCATGCAAGAGTTCTGTGACTGAGTTTGTGTTGTATCCTATATCTGACATGTGCAGTGTACGTGCGAGTGGATGCGATCGACATGGCATTCAATAAGCACCCCAGATGGGTATTGTATCCACACATGGCCGCCTGTCACTTTGGCTGCTGGGCCGAGAGTTTTGACCACCTCAAGGTCTACAACTTACATGCCCAGCCGAGCTGTGATATCTCTACCATGGCTCGGCGTCTCCCCGCGCATAGCCTGCGAAGGGTATATATCCTCTTCCACACTGATACACGCGTCGTGACCTGGACTCGTAGCACGATGCTGTGCTCTTCGTGGTTTGTATAACAAAATTGTGAACAGAACACATGGTCATCCACCCGCCGTCTTACTCCTCTCACCACCTTCGACCAGCTCTTCCTCTCCCCGCAATTCTGCCCCCTCTTCGTTATCAGCCATACCCACGCCCTCCACGCCTTCCCCTTCTCCCTCCTCTCCCTCCTCCCCCTCTTTCCCCTCTTTCCCCTCTGCAAGCTTCCTATACTTCCTCCTCGCCTTTTTAGCACTACTAGCCTTCTTCTTACTCTTCTCCCTCGCCTTGACCCTCGTTCGCGCACCCTCGCCCAACTCCATCTCCTCAATCCGATCCTGCAGTATCCTCCTCGCCATCTTCCTGTTGACCTCTCTGGACCGTGTGTCCTGGTATTTGACTACTATGCCAGTGGGTATGTGTTTGAGTTGCACAGCAGAAGAGGTCTTGTTGATCTTTTGGCCGCCGGGGCCTGAGCCTTTGAGGAAGTTTTCAATGAGGTCGGTGTCGAGGAGGGGGGTGCGTGGGGGTAGGGATTTGCCGCCGTTGAGGAGAGTGGTGGTGGTGGAGAGGTAGGCGCATTGGATGGGAATGGTGGTGCTAGGGAGAGGTGTGGCGGTGGTGAGGCGGGCGAGGGACGTGATGGAGAGGAGGCGCATCGTGGAGTTTGGTTAAACTAGGGTTGCAGACGATTTGGGTGCTGCGCCATTGGCGATGGAATTAGCATTGGGATTGTCCGTTGGTACAAAGTGGGTTGTTGGAAACTTCGAATAGTGTTTCGCTGGTTATCGATTCGCGCGTCATAAGGCTCTCGTCTGGAGCAATGCGATCAATTGCAATCCCTGCTCCGAATCCACCGGTCCCTGAACTCCTCATCTCCCCGGCATCATCTACACCGCGCGCACGCCCAAATCATCATTACACGACTCTACAGCTGCGATACCCTCATACAAGCTTTTTTTTTTGCGCACACAAAGCATTCCTCTACGGATTCGCAAGTCTATGCTTGATACTACAGTCCTCTTGGCCGCTTTCCTCTTAGCCAGCGCATTCACGCTCCTCCTCGCCGCAATGCTTTACCCATCCGCCCTCCTCCGCTGGTTCCAGCGCAAGAGGTACCAATACGAAGTCACATTCTCACTATACATGTTGACTTCGACCGAGAAGTTCATCTTCAGTACGTTGGCCCCATTGACTTGTCGTCGCATGCAAAACCGCATCTTGTCTTGTTTTCTCGAATGCGGAGATTCACCGCCCCTATCCTCTCTCTCTCTCTCTCTCTCTCTCTCTGTGAACGCCACACTGCCTCTGCACACACACACACATACTCTGCCTCTAGTACATGCTTGCAGATTTGAAAAACTAACAATTTCGACAGACTCGGTACTCTTTCTCCTCCTCTCCCTTCTCATAATCGCCGCGTCGCTGTACCTCCCCGAACACCTGACTATTATCGCGAACCGCATGTCTTACTATCTTTCTGGCAACCGCGACGCGCTTGCCAATTCCACACCGAAAGATGTCGGGATGCCGAATGCGCCGTTGGGCGCGGGTGCCATGGGGAATGGGAGGGGCATGATGGAGTTGTAAGGATGGAATGTCAACAGGGGGATGGTAGGGCAGAGATATGGGCTTGAGACATCGATTCTCGAACGTTGAGCATATGTGCATAGTGACGGGGCGCAAAGAGGCGTTATATCTGCTTTTCCGTCGGACGAGCCAGGGCATGAATTATAGACGTACTAGAAGTATAGTAATGTTAATAACTACATCACAAGGTTGCTTCTCATTCTTCGTAACCCCCCATGTGTCGCAGCCATGTCTCGTCATTCTGACAGGCCTATACGGAGGCATGCGCATTAACAATATGAGTACGTTGTTGAAAGTATCGAGGCGTGTATGCAATGACCGTCTCACGTGGGCGATGCGGTATGCACTGTGATATGCATGACGCACGACGCATTGCGCACCTGGGAGCACACATCACAATCATGTCACGCTCTGACTGCATGATTCGCATGGTACATGGGCGGCTAGCGTTTGAACAGTGAGGTTGGACGATGCCTGTGAGTCATGTTTCTGGCCTCCAGGCCCAAGGTTCTTTGGAGTGGTGTGAAGCTGTGTTGAGACTGAATAGTAGTAAGGGTGTCTCATAAGTCTGCAGGTGTAGCGATGTCTGCAGTTGATGCTGGATTGGACGTAAGCTGGTACGTACGCGATTGGAGTAAGACAGAAGTCCACCATCAAAATCCTCGTTGCGTTGAGAAGTGATATCTATAAGTGAAATGAGATCCGACAGGGAAACAGTACACCACGCCGTTTGCAACGCGAATATGATATAAAGTGATCAAGGACCAGCGCCGAGAAGATGAAAGAATGTCAATGTATGTTCCACCCAGTAGTCATGGTATCTTGCGAAGCTGAAGGTAAACACCCGCCAGATAAAAGGATTGTCCCTCTCAGATCGTGTTCTTTCAATCAGACGCGGACGTATGCACGGTTGTCGCAGTATAAATGTTGGCTGTGGATTGGTATAGTGCCAGGGCAGTGATACCGTTCAGTTGCCAAACAGAACGCGTACCGCATTCATGAGCGCCACAGTAGTATAATCGCTGACCGCAACGACAGCGGGAAAGCTATCCACCGCATTGACATATCCTTGGGCAGTAGCGTCATCATCAACGAGAAGCAAGATAGTCGGAATATTGGCTATAGTATTGTTGTGTACTATCTTCTTCGACGTGTCTAGTGCGAATTTTAGTTGCCGTTCAAAGGCCTGTCCATGGTGGTTGATCACGTTGGTAGTGGCGCAGATGACAATTACTACCGCTCCGCTGGCTGACAGAAAGTCGACATGCATTTCTGTCATGCCGTAGTCGAAGCGGTATGGAACGTGTCGTACTTGTCGTGGCAGGGCTCGGCCCAGAGGCTCGAAAGGATCTACGTCCTTCGCCAGTGTTGTCGATGGGGGATGAGGTACAAATGGGGTGAAGAGCGTGATGATTTCTGCTTCATTCAGGTGTCGCAGCCGCTCGATAGTTTCCGTGGGACAGCGTACGATCCTGGCGGCGTTGGTAGATGAGATTTGTGTTGTCTTCGATGCGCAAGAGGTGGATGAGGCCATTTTGAGCGGTGTGTTCTGGTTTTCGCCAATGACTGTTCGACTGTCTCCAGGCTGGTTGAAGACAAGAAGACGATACTGAGAGTTGTAGGTGGCCCGGGCGAGACAGAAGACGGTGAGTTATGCAAGCATGCTCTACGACAGCTTAGCCCTGAACTTTTGTCTACTCAGCCTTTAGCTCTCATGGTGAATCAAGTATTGTCCCGAGTGGGAAAAAGCACCGCAATGACGCTATACCCGTTGACGTACCAGTCCGAAGCGAGCAGCCAACATGCGTTGGGTGCTATACTCGATAGCGAAGTAGAACGCTCAGGATGTAAAACCCAGGCGTAAAACAAAGCAGCTATCCAAGGTTGCATGTAGCCATCTCAGAAGCCCTCTGATGAAGTAGCAATGTTGTGTGGTCATCGATCGCCGAGTGGACTGCAACCTTGCTGATTGTGCCTGACGATGCGAACACCCTGTCTAACTAAGGACAAGCTTCTGATGTTAGATATCAGCACTATTGGCAGCAATAATGGGGTGGTACCAGAAAGAAGATGAAGAATGTAGTACAAGACCTCGGCCATGCTGTCTCCGCGTGTAGATAGAGCAGTGCATCCCCAACCATAATAGGTGCGAATCTTGCTGATTGGATTACGCTATCGAGTTCGTAGCCTTGAACGGAACGACAGAAGCGTTGCCGAGGCGTGTTGGTTTATATCAGTGAGGAGCACAACGGGCGTATGATTGCATGGCGACGGTTGCGTCGGGTAGTAGCGGAATCGTGTGTACCGAGAATAGAAGACGCCACATCTGAACGTCGATCCAGGATCCAGCAACAGTAATCTTGTGAGTTTACTGACCTGAAGAGGTTGAAGGGCGATCCTAAAGGCCAATCGGCCGGCCTGATGGAGAATGACAAAGATCCAAGGGAAGCCGTCCCGCTCGACATGGAGCGAGCGCCAACAACCAGGTCGACAACATAGTTCAACATCCGTTGCGTATAGACCACAGGTCAAGGGAAGTGTAGCATGCGGGGGCAGTACGATTCGTGTCAAGGTTGCAGAAGGCGTGCTTAGGTTGATCGTTGACCTGCAAGGCGACCATCCTTTTTTGACCAGTAGGAGCCGCGCGGGCCGCTTTCATTACACCTAATGCTTCTTGTGTAACACAACAGGTCGGTTCTGATGTGGCAGCGGGCGACAACTGCGATGCATGCTCCAGTGATGGCTCGGACATGCGGGTGATATCTGCACGATTAATTGAATCAAGCACAAGTAGCGTGAACGAGCTGCGGATAGCTAGACCGGCTTCCGCGCTGTTGTGTGCCCAGACTAGAATACTAGCGATGAACACCAGGTCTGCAATACACCAGCTGGAGGTTTGAGTCAATGCTGATGGAAGAAATGTGGGTGGAAGACGGGTGAGATGCGCGGCGGTCGTTAGTGGGGCTTGCTCGCTTGATCGGAAGTGGGAAGGCGCGATCAGGGTGTCAACAACCATCGCGACAACGCGCCCACGTAATCACCAACGGCGCATACAACAGGCTGACCACTGTCTTAGCATATGCATGTTGCACTGACAATGTAATGCTATCCGTCACCTGTAACTTCACATCGACTTCGCTCCAGGCCCGCTACTGATGGACTCTGCAGAAGAGCAGCCGACGCTGCATGAGACGCTAAACCTACTGCATCAAGGTAAGTGTCGGTATGCGGCTATGGATTCCATTCAGGAACAGTGCTTACACAGGCCTGCAGCATCTAGAACGACAGCAAAGCAACGTACAATCAAGGTATCTAGTATAGTCGATGTCATCTGCCGTTACGCCTCAGAGAATGGTCTTGACCAGGATGCTCTCCGAGACATTGTTCAGCTCGCGTCGGTGAAGACATCACTAGACCAAACAACCATCACGACCTTGATCAAGAACCTGTATCCATCTCAAAAGGTCCCAAGCGATGTTGTCATCACCATCATTGGTGCTCTTGGGCAGGGCAAGGGCAAACCGTCACCAGGTACACAAGACAGCCTTGTAAAGTGGCTCATTATCATCCACGAGATTATCGAAAGCCCGACAGTGCTGTCTCGCTTGTACGGCGTGCTGTTTGGCATGCTCGATATGATCAGCATAAGGTGTGCCGCTCCAAGCAGATACTACACCAATCCGTGCTAATTTAGAAGGACTTCCGTGTGCCATCTACTCTCCCTCATCACTCGCAGAAAGCACGTAAAGCCATTCCGGATACAGCAACTGTACGCATGACACCACTAGCAGGAAGAGAATTTCGACAGCGACGACTAACGCTACTACAGGCTCGAGCTATCTCGCGGCCTCGGTAATGAACCAGCGCTCCAAGGTCTTCTCCGTGTTTATAAGGATTACTATCCAGATATCATTCTCGGTAGCACATCCACGAGCCGAAAGTCGTTCGCTCCGGTGAGTACCCGTCCCTCGTGTCACCATAGATGTTACCTTGGATCCTCCACACCATTCCCCCGCAATGCACCGTCACACTGCTGAACGCGGGCTAACTTGATAGCGACCGGATTCCGAATGGCAAGCCAGGATCCTCGCAATCCAAGAGGCCAGCGTGGCGGAAGATGACTCAAACGCGGATAGGCAGCACGGGTTCAAGGTGCTGCGAAGGAGACTCAAAGGTAGCAAAGAATCGGTGATTCCAGACGTGCATACCTATCATGCGACAGAGGTACGTGAAAACGTGCTCTTTTCACCATGAAAGCATTGACGTTGTATGACAGAACTCGGTAACCCTCGAGGGTATTGATGGTGTGGACGACTTTGTCGAAAAGCTCGACAGGATAGAGCCACCGGGTCAGCTGGTAGCGGTCCTCACGGACCCATTACTACAGAAATACATCGCCCTCAAGCCATCGCCGATCAACACCGCTCGACTGAGAACGTGGCTCGCAGCATGTCTAGAAGAACAATTCGAGGAATACCGACAAGGCACTGGGAACGCTCAACACCTATCTGAGATCCTCGATGGGCTACTGAGGTACGCTCGATTCACGAAGAAACTACATCGTCCAGCACGAGCCTTTCTCCTCAAATATCTGCCGGTATGGAACGGACAGCAAGACCGTGCTACTGTGTTGGGACTTGTCTCCTACCTCCAGGTTTATGACTTCAATGCGGACTATAGATCCTATTTCAAGCATATTGAATCTGCCCTAGCAACCCAGGGAATCTCAGCATACGCGACGCTAGTCGACTTCTACACAGCCCTACTGGTAAATCAGATCAACATGACTTCCACGGGTTCCGAAGACATACGAGAAGCGGGCCAGGAAGTATTGGAAGACATAATGGAGCATGTGAGGGACTTGTTCACCTCGGCTCTTCTATCCGTCCCACCAGGTTCTGGCATCGACCTCACATCATCCATCCTCTCCTTCTACGAACACCTCAGCGCCTCCTCGAACCCACACGTCATCCCGATCCATTTACCGCCTATGCATCTTGTCTACCTGCTCGCCCAAGACACGTCCGCGACGACTCTTTCCCGCATATGCGGCATCATCGGCACGTACAAGTCAGCCTTTGACGCGCATCCCAAGCCAGTCAAGGTATATTACTCACCAGAAGTTACCGATACGTTCAACCAGTGTCTGCGCGACTTGTACAACCTCGTATGGGTATCTCGCGGCCTTGTTGCGCAAAAAGACAAGTCAAAGGGCTTGTACTGCCATGACGGACTTCGCTCCACACTCGACAACTACCTAAAAACTGTGGACCGAAACTATGCTATTGCAGGTGCGTTTACCTTGTCATTCAATCCGTGCTTGACGTCGCTCTCTGCTGCGGCGTGGCGTGCGATGGAGAGGCGGGAAATTGGCAAGGTGGGCGAGGAAATGATCAACAAGTATCACACTGGACCTGTTGGTGAGAAGAGCCTGGCATTGCTTAAGAAGGAGGGTGGTGTGGGCGTGGACTGGGAGGGTGCAAATGGGTACAAGGTCTTTGTGTTGCAGTGGTTGAATGAGAGAGGGTTGGGTGGGATCAAGAGTTTGATGTTTGCTACTGTTACCAACTTGAAGAATACGGCTTCTGAGTAGCCGTCGAAAATCTATCGAACAGTTGCATAATGCAGTCTTGTTAAGTTTGCTCTTGGATCTGCGGAATAAACAGTATGGTCTCGGAGAGGGATAGATCCAAAGTTACTACCGCTATGATTTTGAGGAAGGTGACTTGCACGATCGCGAACTCAAGATGTATCCGCCGCTCCTTGTCCAGATCGACAATCGGCTTAGGCGACTGTGCCGCGCAGTTGTTAGGGCTGATAGGTATTTTTGGCCTGGGCTGTTGGATCCAGCTGGTCATCTATTGGTAAAGTCGATCTCTATTCGTGTGAGCAATGTAGGGGAGATACTGAAGGTGTTGCAGGAGAGCCGTAATGCTTGGATGGAGACAAAGGGTAATGTTAGTGTCGAGGACGGACTGAGGCTCAGCTGTGTTTCGGGCCGTAAGGAAGAGGGTCGCGCCAGTGGCTGCTAGAGCATGAGTGGTTTCGATACGCATGCCGTTCTCATCAGGGGGCTTTACTGAAAACAACATGTTGCTTAACGTGATGTAAAGCAGCATCCTTTCTTAGCAGGGTGCTTTACTAACATAACATGTTTACCTAACGTTATGTAGAGCGGCATCCGTTGAAGATCTACAACTAGCGTAGCTGTCGTTTTCTCCTATTCTAGCCTAGTGCGTCTCAGCTCCAGGGCGTCCCTCGTTACACTTAGAGGTGGCTCGACAACAAGCCGCTGAGGAGCGTCACGAAGCGAAGAAAGCGCACAGAGCTGGCTGCGCAACGAGTGCTCAAGAAGCAGCAACGCGACGCTGCGACTGCACCGAGAAGTTACGATGCATACGATAAAAGTAAGCGGGAAGCCTTCCTTACACAAGACTAGTTGAAATCCTAGAAAGTGTCGTTGTGTTGTTGTTACAACAAGTGGTGTCGACACTGGTCTTCTGGCTGCGTCTCCCCTACCTAAAGTTTCCAAAAGCGGCGGTACAAGCAAGATACCAGCGAGGTTGAGATAGTAAAAAAGCTGCACAAGTTTCTATATAGTGATATACTAGAGATTCTCGCGATAATAGCTTTTGCGCAGTGCTATACAGTATCATCTTTCTAGTTGTCCCACATCGGTGGGATGGCTTACATGGCGTACGGGCACTGTAGCGCCAAGTTCATTCCAGGGCGATTGGGACCCCGAATCGCGCCTCATACTGAACAAGGCGGTCATAAGGGCTGGGAGGGGTGCGATTTTGGCTTGAGACTCATTTGCGCGCGCTCTATCTGAACTGACGCAGTCAGCTCTGGAATAATATGGTCGACCGTGTTCGAGAGAAGGCTACAATTGAGCGTATGGCGGTACGTGATGAATGCAGTGTCGAGCAGTTCAAGGCCTCTATCTCGTCGAAAGTGTTGTTCAAGATACGAACACACACTCGCCGGAAATATAACTCAGGGAAGATGCAGAGTGTTATGAAAAAGACGAAGTGTTTTGAAAATCAGTGAGAACTAATGGTCATAAGTCCAGACTCGTGTAGTTGAGTGAAGATCAACGGAAGATTCGTGAAGTATCAACTGGGTGTGAAGGCGAGGTTGAAATAGCCACCTCAAGAATCTGGGGATCCGTTTCAGCTTGGAGAAAGACGGGTGGGGCCAGAGACCCACTTTGCGCAGTTAGCCGTTAGCTTCGGTGCATTACCTGTCCGATTATTCATCGTCCAGGGATCTTATAGATGAATGCACAGACCTGAATAGACTAGACACGCAAATCAGACGATCTGTATAGGGTAACTACTGTTGAACAAACCTCAATCTATGTGCCAAAATGATTCATTCGTACCATATGAGGCCCCGTAAGAGACGATCTCGGACACTTAGCATTGCGGGACGCACCGTACGACTGCTTGGGTCCTAGGATACTTTTAACGCTCCGGACGAATCGCTAGAGGTACGTATGTGTGACAATCATATGATTATACTCCTTGAAAGTACATGTGGACACTAGAGCAGCTGTTGTGGGGTCTGCTCTGCACCCAAACCTAAGTACACGATAAGGAAACGCATAATGGCATACATGAATGTTTGCTTTTGATGTAATGAATTGAGGAAAAGGTTTTTTGAGACATCGACTACTATATCTCGCTGGAATACTGCCATTCTGTTCTGTGTAGTTGTCATTCACAGCATGTGGTACTGAGCCTTGGCTGCGTCTGTGTTTCTGATATACCCTGTCAAGACTTGCCTAGGGAACCCATAATCTTCCGGGTACATTCGAAAATAGCAAAAGGTTTTACACTTAGCAATTTACGCTACAGGGTCGACTGCATGGTGACGCAAAAGATTTCGTCTTGTATCACCGAGCCAAATCCCCGCGGGTTCTTGACTATAAGAAGCGCCAGACTTTTGCTATCTAGGGAGCACTCTCATCAACGTTTTGATCAACACCTCTATTCGCAGATATGACGAACCCCAAGCCCTCATTTGTTCCTATGTTGGAATCGCTATCCTTGGATATGACCACGATGTCGATGCCAATCATTACTACAGTATCACTTGGTGTTGTAGCTCTGATTTCGCTCGTCATTATCGCCTCCAACAAATCGAAAATCCCTCTCGCGAATCCCCCAGACCGCTTCAAGACAGCGTTTTCTCGTCAACTTGAATTCATAACACACGGGCTCGAGGTCGTGGAAAATGCCAGAAAGCGATACGGCAAGCAGCCTTACAGACTAATCACCAATGTTGGAGAGATGCTTGTCCTCCCGCCTTCGTACGCTCAAATGATCCGTAATGAAAAAGCTTTACACTTTGGCACAACTTTTGCACAAGTAAGGCACACAGACCTGTTTTGCGAACAATGTCATGCTTACTCAGGCGGTAGGATTTCCACGGCTATCTAACTGGCTTTGAGCCTTTTGGTACCCTTGGCGATAAGAGGGATCTTGTACAGAAAGTAATCAAGAAACAACTCACTAAACAATTGAGTTCGTGGAGACTGTACCAAGTAAAGCGCAGCACTAACTGTACCACAGATTTTACATCGAAGCCACTCTCTGATGAGACCTCTTTCGCTCTCGATGTCGTCTTTGGCGATTCTTCAGGTATGGGTGAAATTGCGTACGTTTTACGCAGACTAACAGTTTGCTAGAGTGGAAAGAGACTAACATCACAAACGACATACTTAACGTTGTGTCCCGCCTGTCATCAAAGATTTTCCTTGGAGACAAACTTTGCCGCAATGAAACCTGGATCAGGCTATCAAAAGAATACGTCGTCACTGCTGTCGAATCCACGAAGAGTTTTCTTGCATGGCCCAGGTACTTGCACTTCATGATCCCATGGGTTTCAAAAGATGCCAAACTAGTCCTTCGGCAGCTCGATGGCATCCGCGCTATTCTTAGACCGATTCTGGAGGAGAGGGAGCTGATGAAGGCTGAAGCCAGAAAGATGGGTACGCCAGTTCCGGTCTTCGAAGACACATTGGAGTGGCTTCAGGAAGAGAGCCAGGGAGCTGCGTATGACCCTGCTGCATACCAGATGCTTCTTACCATCGCCGCCATCCACACGACTTCTGACTTGCTTAGTCAGGTTATTATGCGTCTTGGAAACGAGCCGCATCTTATCGATGACTTGAGGGCGGAGATTGTATCCGTTCTCGGCGCTGAGGGGTTTTCCAAAGCCTCAATCGCTAATTTGAAGCTCATGGATAGTGCGCTCAAGGAAACACAGCGAATGAAGCCGTTACAGATGCGTAAGTGATGTTCAACCTTCAATCTTCCTGGAATATCAGCATCTGGTTTACTGACTGTTGCAAACTAGTCGCCATGAAAAGAATTGCAGAGAAGAAGGTTGTTCTCTCCAACGGTCTTACTATCAACAAGGGCGATCGTCTTGCGGTGGATGCACACGCAATGCTTGATCCAGAGGTGCACCCGAATCCAGACAAGTTCGACATTTATCGATACCTTCGGATGCGCGAAGACACTAGTAATTCTACAAAGGCGCTCCTTGTTACTACTAGCCCCGAAAACCTCACCTTTGGCCACGGAATTCACGCATGCCCTGGACGTTTCTTTGCTGCTCTCGAGGTAAAAATTGCGCTTTGCCATATCCTAACAAAGTACGACTGGGAGCTTCTACCGGGATCAAACTTGGAGCCGTTTGTCCAGACTGGGGACCAGACGTGCCTTGATCCTAGGAATATGGTGCGCTTTAGACGTCGCAAAGAGGAGATTGACTTTGATTCTCTATCCTACAAATAAGCGTTATGTATTTGCAACCATTTGGTATCGCTTTTTATGTTCTAGGTACCGTTGAAAACATCTAGTGTTCTGAAAACCTACCTTTATAGAAATGTTATACTTGGTTGTTCAATCGCATTGTGCTGTCCTGCGTTGGCATCACCACTACTTCATTGTGATGGAGATTGTTAAGATAGTCTATCTGTAAAGACTGCGCTATCCCGATGACTTATCTGTCGATTAAAAAGAAAACCTAGACCATCTCCAAGACACGTTAGTTTTCAAGGACTCTCCGCACCACGGAGACCAAGGCACACATAACGGAGCAGTCGCGACGGGAACGCGGGAGTACGGGAAGGCGCGACGCTCAGTCCACAGAACCACGTGAGATGGGCCAGGTAACGTGATCCGGCAGCTTCCGGTGTCCAGGCCTACAATGACATTATCGACATTCTGATCTCACGAGTACGTATTCAAGTCTTGGTATCTGCCAGCGGGCACGTATATTGCGTCATTTAGCAGCCGGCTCTCCAATGCCCTTGCTTACATCGTATACGCTGAGATTGTTGGCCAATTCGACACCACGTCTTACTACGCACTGCGTATGTGCCTGCAGCCTGCTTCTGCTGACAGGTCGCCTCGCCGTCTATTTTCGGCGGTATTCAAATGCAATACCCATGCAGGGCGAACCTGGCGCCTGCATGACATCATCTCACAACGTGTGGTAATCAAAGGGACGCCAACAAACTGCTTTTGCGAGAACCATGTCCACCATGAAACAAGGTCCTGCAGCACCCCCCATTGTTGACAACTCAAACAGGAATGGCATGTCTAGCGGGGTCAGTGATGCAGGAACTGGTGCCCTGTGGAACTTGCGAAGATGGGGCAGCAAGTCATCTGGTCGCATTGTCCTATCGGTTCGCAGTCGGCTGACCAGATTTGGGAGGGCAGCGCTGGGATGCGCAGATCTACCCGCACGGCGCAGAAGCGCACATGGCCAGACCTTCTAGACTGATGAGACGTATGTGATGGTGTTCGATCATGGCGTGGTTTCGCATCGCCATCGATACGCTTTCATTCGCACGGGCAAAGTATATCGAGTCAGTTGTCGATTAGCATTGTATTTGCTTTGGCCGCGGAACCTACTCGGCATCGGTCTGGGCCGTGCAGTTGTCCGGCGGAACTATACAGATGAGTGAGGGGTATGGCGGAAGCGATGTTCCTTGAATGTCGATATGGAGCGAGGGCTGTCAAGGCAAAAGACGGTATCGGGCGGCTGAGGTCAGATGGCAATTTGGGCGGTAACAGCGCTGGGCGGGGAGAATACAAAGAGAGGTTGAGGGGTATGCTAGAACCCCCTCCCCCACAGACACGATAACGACGATAAGACACCCTGGAATATTCTAAAGGATGACCTTGGACGAACCGGGAGATGGTGTGTGGACTGATTGCCCCGTGAGCTGCTGTGTGCGGAGTTGTGTGGGAGGTGTTCAGATGATTGAGGCGTCATTGTGTAGATGACCTACTAGCTATTATGTCCTGCTGAGCTCGGGGACTTTCACATGCAAAAAGAGCGACATGAGCAATCGATAACACATGGGCGGGAACGTACCGCAGTTGGTGCTAACGATGCAGACATCGCCTGTCTACCCGCTGCGAGACATTGGCGTGCCCTGAGTGAACCTTCTAGTCGGCGCTGGTGCAATTGTGCAGCGCCTGCGCCAGTGGCGTTGGCACTACAGCCGCTTGAGAGAGAGGCCATGTCACAAGACCATGAACGGGCACCGCTATTCCACAGAACTCGGTGAGCAAGTCTTCGGTAACCGCCGCTGACGGAGAAGGGGGGTCAGATCCATGCAGAGACAGACCCAATCAGTGCGCCACTCGCCTTGAAAGGCAGTTGCAGTGAATTGAGTTTCTCTGGCAGGTCAAGCGCAGGGTCAGCTAGGATGTGGAGCATGCGGGATAGTCATGTTTGCATTATTGACGGCGGTCAGACTGCGCATAGCGTACGAGGCAAAGATGGAAGATGACGGAAGCGGTGACTGTCGACCGGAAGCGATGTGTAGAGTGGTATGGGATTGGGCGCTGCTGTGACACGCTGGCTGGGAATTGGGCGCCCAATGGTAGGGCAATGGTGGGCAGTGGTATGCAATTCGGTACCAGACAGATGCAATGGCAAGAGGCCAGTCACAAAGCTCATCAATGGCAGCAGGAAACGTGTATAGTCTACTCATGACGAGACAATGCAAATGTCGGGAATGCATTGAGTCGGCCCCGACTCGTGCGGGCTAGCCGGGTTTGCATAGACGGAGCGACAAGTAATTGCTCAGCAACTGTGCAGCTACAGTGACTCAACTCTGACTGCGACGAGCCCATTGCTCGCTCCATGTCCGCACAAGCTCCGCCTCAGGCGTCGCCCTGCAATTGGCCGCTCTAATTGGAGCCCCCTTCGTCTTCCTTCTATTCACTTCTTGGCCGCCCGCATTCGTCAGCTGCCGGCCGCGCGCAACGGGCGCTCCTCATATGGATGATGCCTGGCCTGGGGGGAGGAGGAGAGCCTGGCACGCGCCAACCGCACACCCTCTTTGTCTGGTTCGCTAGCACATGGGCCGCAGTGTCTCAAAAGCAGAGTCACACTGGCCTTGTTCGCAATCCTGTAGCCTGCTGAAACCCCGACGACCTTGGGTGGTGCTTCTTATAACTCCGCCGCCCACCCCGTCTGTTTCGGGACGACTAACCTACCATCCAATTCAACTCGTCCTATCTCCGCACTGTCAGTTCGCAGCTAGGGTTACTAATTCATCACTGAACAAGCTGGTCTAAGCAGTCGGTCGGACCATTCTGCCGGGTTCCACGGTCACGTTTGCGCCTGCTCGCACCTGACGATATAACTGTGGCGAAGCCGTTTACTCAACCAAGGCTGCCTGCCACAGCTTCCACTCACATACCTCGTACCAATTGAAGCATCCCCCCCCTTCAACCATTGTTCGCATTACCAACGCAGCATTTTCTTGCGGCTGCCTGGACGCAACCAAGTAGTCAAATACCGCTACCGCCCCCGACGTTGCGCTCTTACCAAGGACAAACTTCCCACACCCACACCCACCCACGCAATGGCAAACTCGCCCTACAAGACGCCCCCGAGCAATCGACTCACCGTTTCCTCGCTCCTCTCGCCCCCTGAGATGAAGCGATCAGAGTCGTTTGGCACATCAATTCCGCCTGCATTTATTCAATCGCCCTTTTCGTCGTTCAATTCAGGAGCTTCCAAGTCTGCCAACAGCCCCGACATGACCCTCCAGGCAGCAGCCGCGCACCGCATCGCCTACGCCTCTCCGCCAATCTCGCCATACGACACACAGGCACAAAAGGAGAACATGGAGAGCGCCGACGAACAATGCACGCGGGACCCCCAGCTGTTCGCTCCGGTCGATGCAGCGGCTCCCATTGCTGACATGCCGCTGTTCCCCGAGGAGTCATCCGAGTCAGCCTCGCAAGAGGCCATCACCGCGCACATGAACTCCAAGGATTACGCACAGCTAGAGAGCAAGCCGAGTCGCGCAGACTACGAATTGACCGCCACGTTCGTCTCCAATGTCTTCGCCTTGGCCAAGAAGGATCCGAAAGCGTGGTGGGCTCAGGAGCGACGCTTCGACAGCTACTACGGCAAGCCAACCGGCGTGCAAAAACGCTCGCCCTTGAAGAAGCTTGCACCTGCCCCATCGTCGCGGCCCCGCCAGCCCAAGGTCGCTGTTCCCCGGCTGCCTCCTCGCACTCCTCGCGCTGCACCCAAGGCCAAGCGCACGCCTCTCACACAAATCCACGACTCTTTCGACACCATCATGACTACCACCACCTCACCAAAGTCAGCCTCCCCCAAGCCTTCCCGACCAGCCACCAACCGCGACGACTCCGACTACAACGCGATTCCAGATTACTCGCCACCGCTTGATACGCTGCCCAAGGGCAACACCAAGATCCTCAAGGCTGAGTGGAAAGGGCAAGCGTTGTCACTGGCCGACGATCCCGATCGTGATCTTCTGCACGAGGCTGAGTTGAACCTCGCTGGCACGCTCCGCCTCAACTGCGCCACGTATCTTACGAGCAAGCGACGAATCTTCCAGGCTCGCATCGAGGCACTCAAGATTGGCAAGGAGTTCCGCAAGACGGATGCGCAGCAGGCGTGCAAGATTGACGTCAACAAAGCTAGTAAGTTGTGGCAGTCGTATGATCGTGTGGGCTGGTTCAATCCGGAGTACTTTCGCCAGTATCTCTGAACGATTCGCATCGCAAACATGGGATATATAGCACACGGTACCCTTTTTCTTTTTATTCCTATTTTACGTTTTCCTTGGTTACGATGCATCAATTTGTTCATCGCATCTTCGCGGCTCAATGTTCGAGTCCGCTTTTCTTGGATAAGACTGATATGAACAATACGGAGGGGACTCAGGGTTGTCTTCCTCTGGCATGATTTACGATGGGCGTTATGGATATCACTGTTGGCATGGATAGGTGTTTGGGACTGGGCACTGCTCTCCCACGGCGTTTTTGGGCTTCTCTACTACCATTTTGGTTTTATTCCACGGCATGCGATACCCCTCAGCTCACACCCGTTGTCGCCGCAAATGCAGGCTTTGTTATGAATTGGTAGCGATAGATCAGAATACAATCATGTTAGTATCACGACGATGAACATGCGCCGTGCATTGAAAGTGATTACTGCAATGTCTGCGTGGAAAAGCCAATTGAGCAGAGTAGTGCGCATTTGCTCCGGGTGTGTAATGACGACGAGTCCGTGATATGTCCGTGAGAGCGGTTCAAGTTCAGGGTCCCCGGAAGCGGGGACGTGTAAGCTCCGCAGGCGTGCAGGCGTGGCGCGGCCGCTCGCTCTGTCACTAATTTGGGACAACGGCTTGGCCGACCTCAAACCCGCGCGTTCTCACCAACTCTCTCCGGTGACGACCGCACAATCACTCCCTCCACCAGTCGACCGCCGAGTCGCGCGGATACACCACCATGTCGCGAACAGACCAGGTCGAGCATACCGACTCGATAAGCAGTCAGGACCCTAACCGCGAAGAGCCGAAGAAGACGAAGAGCAGGAGGCCGCCGAGTAAGAACAGTCCTGGGCGCGCACACATGTGCGCATAGTATGCCGGAGGAGGATGTACTGACGAGGGAAATAGATACCGCGTTCAGGCAGCAGCGTTTGAAAGCATGGCAGTAGGTGCAAGGCACGGAGACGCATTACCATCACGACTGACCGCGCAACAGGCCCATCTTAACGCCGAAGACCGTCCTTCCTCTCTTCTTCATCGTCGGGGTAATCTTTGCGCCCATCGGTGGGCTGCTGTTGTATGCTAGTGCGCAGGTACGAAGAGCCAAACGGTATACGTGAGCACAAGGGCGTCGATGCTGACAACCTCTCCCCCCCTCCAGGTCCAGGAGATCTCAATCGACTACACAAACTGCAACACCACCGCGCCCCGCCAAGACTCGACCAACTTCGACCCCACGGCCGAAAACCAGCTCGAATCCATTCCGTCCGGCCGCGTCTCCTCGACGTTCAAATCGAATGCCGACCCAGCGGCCATGTGGGGATGGGGCCGCGAGAACTACACGTTTGAATCTGGCGTCTCGCTCGAAACAAACGTGTGCATCCTGAGCTTCACTATCCCGGAAGCCATCAAGCCGCCCATTCTCTTCTACTACCGCCTCACAAACTTTTACCAGAACCATCGCCGATACGTCAAAAGTGTTGATATCGACCAGCTTAAAGGCGACGTCCGTAGCGCGAGCGATCTCAGCTCAGGCGACTGCTCCCCGCTCGATAACGACCCGGAAACAGGCTTGCCATACTACCCTTGCGGCCTCATTGCAAACTCCATGTTCAACGACACGTTTTCCAACCTGACGCTCGCCAATCCCGCGGGTGGATCTGATTCTGCTAGTGGCCAGAACTACACCATGACGGTTGAAGGAACGAGTTGGTCGCACGAAGGGGACTTGTATGGCAAGACCAAATATAAGCCCGAGGATGTGGTGCCTCCCCCGAACTGGCAGCAGCAGTATCCGAATGGGAGGTATAATGGGTCCTTGCCGGATTTGCACACGTGGGAGCAGTTTCAGGTTTGGATGCGGACGGCGGGGTTGCCGACGTTTAGTAAGTTGTATCAGAGGAATGATAACGATGAGTTGAGTGCGGGGACGTATCGGTTGAAGATTTATGATCGTAAGTTTTTGGATCTACTTATTCCTCTTTTTTTGCCTTCCTTCCTTCCTTCCTTTGTTTCTTTTAAAGACAAGACACTAATGTTCATGTGTGTATAGGCTTCCCCGTCGACAAGTACAGCGGTACCAAATCTATCCTCATCTCTACGCGCACCGTCATGGGCGGCAAGAACCCGTTCCTCGGTATCGCATACCTTGTTGTGGGCGGTATTTGCATCTTATTGGGCGCGGTGTTTCTGGCTACGCATCTCATTAAGCCGAGGAAACTTGGTGATCATACGTACCTTACCTGGAACAACGATCAGCCTAGCACTGCTACCACGACGGGTAGGCAGGGTGGTGCTTGAGAGGTGGTGTGTACACGTGGGGATATGAAGTGGACATTGAGCGTGGAGATGCGCGCTTGGTGAGCCAGGATCGGCTTTTTCTTGTTGATTGGGTTGGTGTCGTCTTTGTGCGTATATCACAAGTGTGTCTTCCTGGGTGGGTAGGGAGTTATGGTGTTTTAATGAGCGCGAGGACTAGAGTATAGTCTTTTTCTCTACGGATATTATGCAATTCCATTATATCATGCTTCATGCTTAGTTCCTGCTACTTTGACGTGTGGCACAAGTCCGCTATAGACAGTGTGCCCTTGTGCGGACGTCATAGTAGTATAGAGACTTGCCAAGACTAATCACATAGTAAGAGGCTCAGCCTATCCACGGACGAACGCGATCCATGAACTTGCTAACACAACTCAACGTCACCAAAAAACTATGCATCGCGTTGTCGTACTATCCTGTCATATCCTGACGCTCTCAGCCTATGAAATGGTGCTCTTGCGTAATTATGCTTTCTCAGCCTTGCACCGCCTTCTCTGGTGGACGCCACGGCGCATGCGAGCTGCGCCTTCTGCCTTGGGTGTCGGAATGCAGCCTGTCCCAACAATTAGCCCCCAGAAGCCAGTTTTTCTCTCTCTCTACTCTAGCTTAGCAATACGTTGTCGGCGCTTGCAACAGGATCGACAGCTACGAGATCTACGCCTTGCATGCGAAAGTTGTGTATTATTCATTCACTTGGCCTTTTGCGACGTTCCGAGGCTACACTCTACCGCCCGCACATACGAGAAGCAAGCACTTCTAGCTCGCTCTGCACACACACCACAAGATGCGGCTACTACACATTACAGAGGACGGAAAGCTAGAGTTTACCAAGGACATCATTCTTAAGGACGAAATCCCCCCCTATGCGATCCTTTCGCACACTTGGGGGGACCAAGAGGTGGTTTTCAACGACATGAAGAGTCTAGATGACTTGAACAATGACGATGCAAAGAGAAAGGACGGTTGGAAGAAGATTGATTTCTGCGCACAACAAGCAAAGCGTGACGGCCTGAAATACTTCTGGATAGATACATGCTGCATCGACAAGGCTAATCATACTGAGCTTTCAGAGGCCATCAACTCAATGTTTCGCTGGTACCAGAAAGCAGAAAGGTGCTATGCCTTCCTCTCGGACGTCGAGGGCAAGTCATCAGGAGGTGGATGCAAGTCTTCCTCAAGATGGAAGGCGGCTTTCAGGACGAGCAGGTGGTTCAGCCGAGGCTGGACGCTCCAGGAGCTTTTGGCACCGCGATCCGTTGAGTTCTTCTCTAAAGACGAGGCATGGCTGGGCGATAGAGAATCGCTTAAGCAAACGATACACGAAATCACGAAGATACCTATCGACGCCCTAACAGGGAGTAATCTATCCAAGTTTAGTATTGATGAACGATTCTCTTGGGCACAAAGTCGGCAGACGACCCGGGAAGAAGACGGTGCATACTGCCTGTTAGGCATATTCGCCTGCCACCTTCCCCTGATCTACGGCGAAGGCAGAAAAAGAGCTTTGGAGCGACTAAGGAAGGAGATGCCAGAGGCGTCCGAGAGGCTCAGCAAAATTCGCTGCTGGTTATCAACGCCTGACCCTTCCACGAACTATCACAAAGCAAAGAAGCAGCGGCAGGCTGATACTGGGCTCTGGCTGCTGAACAGCGCCCAATTAGAAAATTGGAAGACAGCGGCGGCGTCGCGGCTATGGCTGCATGGAATCCCAGGATGTGGAAAAACCATCCTGAGTTCCACTGTTATCGAGCATATGCTGCAGCACTGCGAAAATGATATCGAAAAAGTGACAGTCTACTTCTACTTTGACTTCAACGATTCGCAGAAACAGAATCCAGAACTGATGCTCCGCTCGTTGCTCCATCAGCTCCTGCAGTGCTTGGCCGTTACACACAAGGACGTTGACGCTTTGTTCTTATCCTGCCAGAACGGGGGAAAACAGCCATCACTGCACGAACTTCTGGACGTAATACCGAAGGTGATGCGGCAGTTTACACATGTTTACATCGTTCTTGACGCGCTTGATGAGTGCACACAACGCTCGGAACTGATGAGCATGCTTGAATCAGTGATTGGGTGGAAGCTTGACATAGTACATCTGCTTCTGACTAGTCGGAAAGAAAGGGACATCGAGATGTCCTTGGAGAGTCACATCGAAAAAGATAATATTGTCAATCTCCAGAGGAACATAGTGAACGAAGACATTTCACGATATGTTAGAAACAGGCTGCATGAAGACAAGGCCTTGGCGAAATGGAACAAGGACGCTGATATCAGACAAGAGATTGAGAAAGCCTTGATGAGCCGAGCTGGCGGGATGTATGTGTACTTCTCCAATTATTGAGTGGGTTAGGCTTAACCATAGTCTAGGTTCCGATGGGCTGCATGTCAACTTGATATGCTAGCTAAGAGTCGTAATCTAGCCACGCTGCGCAGGTCGCTCGCTAGCCTGCCACAGACCCTGGACCAGACATACGATCGCATTCTCACTGCTATACGCGAAGAAGACCGCGTATACGCAATGCGCATCTTGCAGTGGTTGACCTTCTCTGAAAGGCCACTCACCATCGAGGAAGTTGCCGAAGTGGCTGCAATCGATATCAAGGGCGAACCGATATTCGATCGCGATGAAGTGTTAACAGACCCGCTAGAAGCTCTAGACATTTGTTCCAGTCTAATCACTGTCACTGGTTCCGCAGAGAAGGAAGTAGACGACTTTGGACGACTAGCTGACGCACGAATTCTCTCTCTAGCACACTACTCGGTGCAAGAGTACCTTGTTTCAGACAGAATCAAGCTAGGACCAGCAAAACAATATCACATGCAAGAAGGTGAAAGCCATGAAGAGATAACGAAAGGCTGTATTGGATATCTCACCCAGTTCCAAGGACCGATTACCGACGCACAATTCGACATCTCTGCGCTCGCAATGTACTCAGCGGAGTTCTGGTTGTCGCATTTTCGAAAGGCAGGAAGTGAGACGGAAAACTTATGCCGCCTAGCGCTGATTATGTTTTCGACGAACAACCCTGCATATCACAACTGGTTGCGGTTATGTGATCCAGACCTGTTGGAAATTAGTGAATACCCAGATTTGGATCGAGAATTGGATGATATGGCAACACCCCTTTATTCCGCAGCAAGATCGGGCCTGTGTAAGATTACGGAACTTCTGTTGGACCAAGGTGCCGATGTTAACGCGCAGGGTGGGATGTTTGGGGATGCGCTTGCAGCAGCTGTGTATTCACGCCACACAGCAGTGGCCAAGTTGTTAATCGATGCCGGCGCCAACATCAACAGCACTCATGAGTCTTGGGGCACTCCGCTATACCAAGCTGCACAGGACGGTGATGAAGCAACGGTCAAGTTGCTAATCGACGCAGGTGCTGACGTCAATGCGCCTATGTCCAAATATCCTGATTGGGATAACGCACTCCAGGCTGCTATCGGAACAGCAGGAGAAGCCACAGTCAAGTTGTTGCTCGAAGGAGGGGCCGACTGTGGTTTGGACGAGCGACTGAAAGGCCCCATTCATTATGCTGCCCTTCGCAGTAATTGGTGCACACCATCGCTCATCAGTATCTTACAGCAATACGGTGCTTCGATAGATGCGATCGATATCGAAAATATGACGCCACTCCATTATTGTGCTCGTAATAGCAATCAGAAGGCCGCAAAACAACTCCTTGGTGCAGGGGTCCCGATCGATATAGGAGTTCGACGAAAGTCGTGGTCCTGGGATGGCGACACATTCAGTCCTGTTGATCACATGGACACCGTACATCTGATTCCAGAATCCATCGCAGTTGGCCTAACTCCTCTACACTTCGCAGCCTTGATCGGTAATCTTACGATGACGAAATTCTTTCTCGATCACGGCGCAGATCCCAATGCTCTTTCCGAGTATGGCGAAACTCCTCTACATCTTAACCAGCGCACCACACTCTATGGAACACAGTACAAAGATGAATGGAAGGATATGAATCTCAGGGTAGAAAATTGTTCAGACTTCTTCTATCAGCGTAAATTTGATACAGACTCTTCGACTGTCGAGTCTGCGTGTCAAAGCATACTTGATACATTACTGGAACATCCCAGTATCTCCACTGCAGCACAAGACTACCAAGGCGAAAACCTCTTACATTGCATCAAATATGGGGAACCAGAAAGCTCGACCTTAGTCCAGAAAATTCTTTCCCGAGGAGCCGACCCATCGTGTGTAAATTCGAGTCAAAAAAGCCCACTGCATCTTGCCAGGGAAGCTGGCGATACTGCATCGATCGTTGCTTTGCTTAGCACAAGTTCGCAAGCGGCATGGTCTGAACGATGCCTCCTCGATACATTCAATGACGCGCTTTGGAGCGCAAACCACGAGGTTATAGTCGCCATTCTCGAGACAAAAGAGGCACGGGCACTTAAGCTGGTAGCGAAGAAGAACGAGCATGGGGAGAATCTGCTTCACCAGTTGTTCCGACGGCAACCCATTCGGATCAAAATGGTGCAGGGGTTACTTGACCAAGGAGTGGACAGTTCAGAGCTTGATGATTTTGGTGTCTCCCCCCTCGCAAGACTCATCCAGAACGACCCGTGGTACGTCAACGTCTATGATATCTGCAGATTGCTCCTTAAGACTACAGGAACTGAGTCGTATGTGAACTGTAATGGCCAAAGCCTTGGACACTTGTGTGCTGCAACGCCCAACTTTCAGATCTATATGTTGGAGGCTTTCAACGACCACGGTGTAGATCTAGCAAGAAGAGACTGTGCTGGAAGAACTGTCCTCCACCTCGCAGCTATATCTGGCTGGCTTACTGAAGAATCACTCGAGTTCCTTGTGAACGTCATCGGCATTGACGCAAACGAAGAAGACGCACATGGTCGCACTGCCTTGCAATTCGCTATCGAGGAAGCTTCGAAAGACCATGGTTCGGATATTATATATCCTGCACGCTGGGAAAGAACCAGGGACATGTTGTTGAATCATCATGCCAATCACAAGAGCTGATCATGTTCATCATTCGCTCGGCTCTCCTGAGTATATGTAGAATCTAGCAATCTGGCCTTTTCTCAGCCGGAACTACCCAGGCGACAACGCTGCATCCCTTAGCCAAGCAACTTGTACGACCTACTTTGTATGCTCATTGCGTGTTCAATACTCTCGACATTAGGCCAAAAGTTAGGCCCTCATAGCACCTTCCAGCCTTCAGCGCCCCGCGCAACTGTCAGGACTGCAGGTTACAGCCTTGCAGCCATGCTGCAGCACACTCAGAGATTAGTGTATGCGCGACCTCTGCTAGCCGGCGCTAATGTCCTATAAAACATCGTTTAGACAGGTTTCTATTGCATCTAATGAATCATGAAGATACTCGATACAGACGAATGACTGGATGCCTGGTATGCGCAATGTGCGTGCCGGAGTGTCATTGTGTCTTCAAAGCGCTACCAGAACCCAACATGTGACTGAACGGCTAGCTACAGCGACCAGCAAAGCCTACTCAGATAGCTCAGAGTAAAGTTTCGTCACAGTTCGACTTATTGCCATGCTTTTAAGTTTCGAGCCCTTCCGTTGACCTCTCTACCCAGCCCATATGAGAATATCCCACTTTTACAACACTGATAAGTATTTCAGCCAGCATTTTGACTCTGCCGCTAATCCGCTACCAAAAGGCCCTCAAGCTTTTGGCATGGGGGGATCCTAGATAAATCTGAATCAGCAGATGCAGCGTGGACTTCACGCGCAAGAAGTCAGCTTACCATCTCACGTCTCTGTAGTTCCGGGACTTGACTTTGATCTCAACAGCTGACCTCGGTACGCCATCGCGTTTTCAGAGATGAACCGAATGCGTCTTTGACAGTCTTCAATGTCATATCTTCCTTGTCTTTGTCAAACCAAGTATCGACGTCGTATACCTGTATTTCCTGCAGGCCGGCGAGGTTTTGAATGACTCGGTGGTAACTATCACGAAGTCTTTCCGGATGCAGTTGGTCCTTGAATGCATGTGTGCTGCCGACAGCGTAGCGTCCAATGATGATCAGAACCTTCGTTGGCAGCTTCAACAGCCATGCTCTATTTGGTGTGTTCTCTCCTACCCCAGCCTACTACAATCATGTAGTCTAAGAGTTATAGTATAGACATAAAGAATCCAAGATCATACAATGCGTTTGATCTCTACAGAGTCTTCACTCAGAAATCAATGTAGACTCTAGGGTAAGGCATAGCTCTTGAGCATGTTCTACTTTTCCCTACTACAATAATGTATATTGAGATTTGTAGTATACATATAAATGATCTAGAAGCTTACAATTGTTTTAGTTCATATGAGGTTTTGTATTAGAAGTCAATGTATGCAGCAGCTACCTTTCTGTCGGATGGGGGTTTCAATGTATGTATTAAGTCTGATGAGCTAACTAAGATGGGAAGCACACACTATATACCTCGATGTTTGGCTTACGATACCTGCGACTGACAATATCCCTTGTTACCACTTTACCGAAAGATCCAGTGCTCTGATCTAGCCGTGATCAGACCAGGAGCTTCTAGCACTGGTTCATACTGCTCGAATGACTTCCGCTCGATGGAAGTGAGCCGGTAGACATGGCCTCGCTTGTGGAGTTGGCTAAACATCTCTCGCAACGGGTGCTTGCTCGGGATGGAGTTCGTCGGGTTGATGAATTCGGAGAGTGGTCCAAAGAACTGCATGGACACCTTTGTGCGAGTTGTAGCAACGACGGTACGGGGTAATTTCCAGAGATGACCAAGAGAACCGGCCATATATACTCCGGCATGAGCCATCCTCGACAGCGATATGACGCCAGCGAAGTCATATCGACACTGACCGAGTTCCTGTTCTTGCCCATGAACGAGTCGATGGTCACTATGTCGATATCGGCCAGGCGTTTCGCCAACACTTACTGTCGTCGTGATACAGCTGTTGCAACAGCGCTCTCTCACTCCCACCAAAGTACCTCAACCTGCGCGGTGTACTGTGTGATAATGATGGATGCTTGCCTTCAATGTGGGCCATGGGATCGACAACATCCTTCATCACTGCGCAAGCAGTCTCTAGTGAGTATGACGAGTCAGTCACGCCTTTAACTGTAGTGGTATCCAGTCTCAAACACATATCGGGCGGATGCAGTAAACTTGGGAAGTTCAGATGTCGGCTTGATGCCGGAGTCGCACATCTGCGGGTTGTTCAGGTCCTTGTAGATGACCGACATGGGATCATACTCCGTGAGCTCTTTCCATGCTTCAACAATAGATTCGACTTCTGAGTCTACGCCGGAGCTACAAATGAGCATGAAAGTGTATGGTGAGTTCTGCATAACGATGCGCAAGTCGTCGCACAGCTCGGGCATCTGCGTACGATGGGTGAGAACATTGCTCGTGCATGGAAGCTCGTGCATGGAAGCTCGTTGTGTCGGAAGCAGATGAGGAAGAGCTTGGCTCCAGACCTGAGGCTACCATACAGATTCTTGAAATAATTCTGTTCTGTGGCCTGTGGAAACAACTTGCACAGGGTCGATTCCCAAGTGCGGTCGGAGACGTCAAGGACTTTGTGCGATGGTTTGTATACGTCCAAATCCCAGGCTTCGGCACCGTCATCAGAGAGCTTTGGAACGCGAGCGTTTCGGTGAATCTCCATCATGTAATCTTCCCATTCACTTTTAGGAGGGTGCTGGTTGGTCGATCCGATGTACATGCGAAGCTGAGCATGCACAATGATCTGTCGAACTTGAGTCCACTGGCCTGCGTCGATATTCTTGAACAACTCGGAGCGCTTGAGTTGTGTAAAGTTCTTCATCAACAACAGCTCGGTCTGCGCCTTGAGCGCTGCTGCCTTGGCGGGGTATGTGTCTCGAAGTTTGTGGGGGACCTTGAGCTTGGAGAAGTTGTTCATCAGCCGCTTACACTCCTTCTCGTCATTGTTGGTGTAGATGACGACCGGTTTCTTCGAGTTGTTGCGTGACCAATTTCGAAGGACCAACGAGTGCTTCATGTTCACCAGATCTTCGACTGTCAAGACCGAGTGCTCTTCACTGTCGAACGGCAGGAGTGTGTCCTTGTCGTGAGGACGGTCAATGGTTACCTTGAGCTGTCCAATCGAAGTTGCATCGACAGCTTCAGTAATCTTTCCTCTCTACGTGGTCTTCTGATCGACTCCATTTGGATCGAAGCTGATGGTGACTGAATCTCCGACTACCAATGCGGGCGGCTCTGGATTCTTGTTGACAGAAAGCTGGAGATAATACGCTATCCAAAGTTTGGCTTTCTTGCTGTAAGTCCCTGGGACTGATACAACGGCGACACGACCAGTGTACGTATGTTTGCCCATAGAAGCGCGCTGCTCAAGAAGGGTACCGAGGCCGACTGATCGCTCGTACTCTTCGAAAGTCTCAAATGCATATCGGCATCCTCGAAAGCGAAGTGTGGGGTAGGAGACAAGGAGTAGATCGCTGCGAGTTTCGAATTTGTAGGCTGCAGATGTCGGCTTGATGGCAGAGTCGCACTCCGCGGATTGCTCGGGTCCCTGTAGATGGCCGACACGTGATCATACTCCGAGTACTGGGGAACCTATGTGCATACAAAGTCAGCATGAGTCCTACATGCACTTCAAGCAGCCATGACTTACCTTGTACCGTGAGTATGTATTCATCATGAGTGGTTGTGGTGTGGAGGAAGTGGTAGAATAGGTAGAGAAACTGCAGCTTGTGACAGCGGCGATTTGAAGAGGAGTTTGTGGATGGGTAGAGAGTAAGAGTTTGAGCTTCTCATAAAGCTATAGCCCTGTAAGTGAGTGACTGCCAAGACCGTACTAGTCCTAGTTGTCGAGGTGATTGCGAGGCCGCAAAAAAGCTTGTCGTGAAGGTGAAGGTGAAGGTGAGCTTGGTCTTTTTCCTGCTGCTGTTGGAAAGCTATTCCTTTCGGCCTGCTGTATACATCGGTCTAAGTACTTGGTACTAAACAAGAGAAGAGAAGGCAAGTACTTCCCGGGTATTGTACAATACAATATCTATTAGCGACAGCAGACAATGTCTCCTCCAGCTTTGACTATGCTGGCGGGTTGTGCCCGCCTATAATACCCAGCATTCTAGGACCCAGATTCTCCTGAAGTCATGGAAGCGTAATAAGAATCGATTTAGCGATGATTCGACCCGAACGATCGCTACACGAGGTTAGAATCAGTTTCTCAGGATAAGTGTGATGGCTCTCTATCCAAATCGGGGGATCAGTTTCTAATTCTTTCCAATTACATTACCAACCCTGGAGACGATGAATTAGTAACAGTAGGGCCAAGGAGCTAACTTGTGGTTGAAACACATGATATTGGGAGAAGACTAGACGGGTAAACATCTACCCAAAGCAGCTGTCCGTAGACAAAAAGCTGCCAACTCCAAACACCATGCCATAGAAGAAAAAAAATATCCCCTAATCCTGTAGCTGGGGAGAATATCCCAAGAGCGATAAGCCTGCTACCCATATCACCCATGACGATACCACACGCCCCGTCCCGAAAAAGGAACAAGGCAAACTCATATCAAAATAGATCCAGCGCCGACTCCCCCCTCCAATCACCGTCCCATACCCTATTGAATCTTCACCGCCAGATGCGCGTATTCGTAGCTCAAGCAGACCTATAACACCCTAAGTACTCCATCCCCTCAAAAGACATCAACGCTTTCTTCACACCTCTACCCTCTTCCCATTCAGTCTCAAAGGGGTAGAACTCACCGATTACCAGCCCCCCTCCTCCCCGGGAGCGGTGGTGGCACCAGTGGATTCCCATACGCATCTGTTCCCAGCTGCGCCCTGCAATCCGGACAATACCATTTCGCGCGGCGGGAAGGTATGTCGTCTTCTGTCATATTCATACAGGGGAGGTGAAACCACTCTTTGTCGCACTGTAGGACCGTTAGCCTATTGTCCACCATCTACCATCTACTTCGCCCTCGCTGCTGTCGTAAAAGTTGTAGGGGTTATAAAACTTACGTTATTGTCACAACTGATCATCTGCCCATAAGACACATCATCACAGATACAATACCGCGGCTCATCCGGATCAATCTCATCCGCCGCCTCCACCTCTTCGGAAGCCTCTGCCCTTCCCTCCGTACGTCTGTTGGTCTTCTTTTTATTCTTACTCCCTTGTGCGCGCTTGACGTTCGTGACAGTCTTTTGACCATCCTCCGCAACAGTAACTTCGCCTTTCGGAGGCGGTTTCCTTCGCGAACTAGTGCGTGTTGTGGGCATGGCTGATTGTTGTTGTTGCTGCTGTGATTGTTGGTGTTGGGCAGAGGGGAGAACTGCAGGTGGTACTGCTGTAGAGGTAGACGCGGGTTGGCTAAAGACACTATGACGACGAGTTTCTCGTGTTATCCTACCTTCTTCGCTGCCAGGCTTGGGCTCTTCGCTTTGCGCTTTGGGCGTCGGCACATGACCGCGTGCGGATCTTGGACGTAAAGTTGGCGCTGCAGGTGTTTCTGGAGCGGGTTCAGGTACTGGCGTCGGTGTCTTTGAGAATTTTGCGGGGGGAAGAGAAGCCACAGGCGGAGTGGGTGCTCTTGGTGCGACGGACCCACGTGTTGACCTTGTCGAAACTGTAGTTGGTGCTGTTGGGACTGCGGCTGGAACTGGACTGGGTGCTCGGGCTGGTGCTGGCGATTGCAAAGCTTCTGACATAGCGGGGGACTCTTCGGGTGCTAGTGGTGAAGTTGTGATAGGTGTGAGCTCTGGGCTCTGCTCTTTTGGTACAACTCTGTTAACTTTCGGTGTGCTTGGACCTGCCGGGGCGAGAGGCACTTGTACAGGGTTTCCATTTGTCGATGGCTTCAGAGAGTCTGGGAGGGGCACAGGCGTATTAGTTGCCGGTGAAGCTACGACAGAGGCAGGGATATCTCGAGGGGTGGAGGCTGTAGAAGCGGGAGTTGGTATTGGGGAGGAGATAGTGTTGGTCGCTGGAGCAATGAGCTGCAATCGTGTGCGCTTGGGCTCTGGAGGCCTTGATGAACTGTCTTGAGTGGCTACCGACGCTTCTCTCGTGGCTTCGGTGGCGCCGTCGATGGTGGGTGCGGGTGACGTATCGCGCTTGCGTTTGTTGGAAGGATTGACGACAGTTTTCTTCTTTTGGCTTGCGGGCGTTGCAACAGTCGAGTTGAAGTTGAGTTCTTTGAGGCTGTTGGCAGCTTCTCTGATCTTCTCAGAAGCACCTATGAGCTCCTGAGCGTCCTGCATAGCCTTTTGGCGCTGAGATGTGCGATCGAGCTTCCTACCTTCTTTGGTCGCGACAGGCTTGAGACGGATGCTGACTGGACCAGTCTCGTCCTTGGCGTCTTCGTCGACAGGCTCGGTCGGCGGGGGCGGATTGGCTGCCTGTGGACCATGCGGTGCCAACAGGCCCAGGCCCGATGCTGTCATGATCTGCTGTAGCGTCTCAGGCTCCTCATCGAGGAAGTCTTCGCCCGTGGCCTCGCAACGAGCCTTTTCCCTTTCGTAGTCTGCCTCTGTACGGTGCTTCTTTTCAAGCTCGCGAATCATCATGGTCTGGCTAGGCGTCCAGACAGCATTCTTCTTCATCTGCTTGCGCAATACAGCCATTTCATACTCGGTCAGCTTCTTCCACGGCGCCCATTTGCTACCAGGCTTCGCGTCGGCTGGAGGTGGGGCGAGTTGGGCAAGCGCGTTGCTAGTAGAGATGCCCGCAATCGAACTGTGTACGTTGGTGCCGAGTACGCCAGCAGCGCGCGATCTGCCGCCAGTTGTCCTTGAATGTCTGTCCCGGTTGTCCTTGCGCTTCTTGGGCGATATTACGTCGATGCCTGAGCCAATTTCCGAGTCTGACGAGTCCGAGTCACAGCGCATTCGTCCGCGTCCTCTTGGGAGAGGGATGGCTGTCTTCTTGTGCCGATCTCGGGGCCGCGAAGTGTTGGCGCCATGGCGGCCGCCGTCAAAGGTCAAGCGCAGATGGGGGGCTCGTTCGTAGTTGCGGTTTATGAGTCGGTGGGCACTTGGAGAGACTGGCGGGGGCGTAGGATCGCGTGACGGCGGCTGTGGCTGGGCCTGAAGTTTCCTCTTGATGACAGACGAGCGCTGGCAGTGGCGCACAGTGACCTCGTAAAGCCGCGAGGCCTCTGTGTAGGCAAACTCTCTCTGACTGATGGCTTTTTGAAGATGCTGGGCAATCTGTTTGCGCAGAAACACGGGGTCGGGGCGCTCTCGCTCGGCAAGGGCGGGCAGCTTGCCATACTGCACCGTCAGCGCGTGCACATGCTGGACGGCCTCGGAGTAGGTCGAGTCGAGGTCGGCAATCAGCGTCAACGAGCGCACCAGGTCCGAGGGAAAGAACTCGGTATAGTCGAGGAAGTCATTCACCGTCGTCTGAGCATCCGGGTTCGGGGCGGGTTGGGCCATCTCAGGCGCATCGTCGGCTTCAGACATGGCGCATCGCGGGGAGGCAGAGTGGATGGAGGCTTGCGACGCACGCGTCAGACTCTCCAGCCACGCGTCAACCAAACTATTGAGGAGAATCAGCGCGATAGTGAGGGCGCGAGTTGCGACATGCGCTGATAGCGATGGGGTGCCTGCTGGGAGCTTGTCGCAACGTTGAACCACTGAGGTTCGCGCTAGTCCGCTTTGGGAAACATCGCTGCACATCACTCAGGAACGCCTGGGAGAGCCGGGAGCCGCCGCCCCACACTCCGCCTACACCACTACAGTACATGGTGCATTCATAGTTGGACTTATGATGTTATGAATTAGACACATCTTAGTCGTGTATCACTCCCGATCGGTACGTGAGATTCAAAAGTAGCAGACGCGCTCTCCGTATCATGTCGGACAGAGATTCATACACGCTGTCGCGCTCCGACAACATCATACCGTGTGCCCTTTAGTTGGTTGGCATAAAGAAGCCTACCCTGTGTGCTCCTACATTGCAAGCCGTGTCTTCTTATCGTCTCTCTCGTCTCTCTTCCACTCTCTCAGTTTTCTAGTTGAGGCTCTCCCCACTGTCGTTTCCTGTTTGCTCTTGCCTCGTTTGTTTATCCAAGCGCGGCTACCGTATATCCTCTATCACACTTCCCTCGCAAACATATTCTACTCTATCAAACACTCACCATGGCCTCAGCACGGTTACAGCGTCTCCAAAGGTTTGTCCAAGTAGACCTCGATACCCTGCCAGACCGCCCTACCTCTCCACGACGTGAGTCCAAGCCAGAGCCCGAACCTAATCATGCCAACAGCAACTCCTCTGGCGGTGTATCGCTCAGAAACATACCTCCAGATTCGCCTGCCAGCAAACAGACATCACGCGATCGGACTGTTGCAGCTATAAAGACACCGCCTGTCGAGAACACAGAACGCCGATTCGTTTGGATTAAAGACGCTTATAGCTCCTTCAACCCAAACCTGGACCTGATGCGACCATCTACCGCCCAAGCTCCGGCACCTCGTACTGATGCCGCTGGGCTTCCGGTGTCTGATCTCCAACGTGGCGACCTAGCCTCACCTCGCCATCACTTCACCCCAATCCAGGCACTGGCAAAGTATCCCTACAAGTACTGCAACAAGATCCATATGCAGGACATTGCTTCTGCTTTCTTCGACCAAGGAAAATTCTGGCAGCGAGAGTGGGATCTGTAAGTCTACTTCACCTCACCACTCATTCGTCATCATGACAGAAGGGAGAAGACATACACTAACCTCACCAGATACTACATCTGGGACATTGAAGAGACTTCCAAGCCTTTCGTTCTCCTCCGCGAAAGCCAAGTTCAAGCATTACTTGCTGAGATCAATAAGCACTTGAAGCTTACTTTGAGAATCACCGACCAACAGCGAGAGGAGGCAAGGCTGCATCATTGTGCTATCAGTTGAACACTCAGGCTAACTCTTACTGACAGGGGCTACTCGTGCAATTTCCTGACCACCAACGCTGCCTGCCTCGTTATCTTGGCCGCTCCCGGTCGCGCGAGGACGTTGACAGTATGGCCGAAAACGCCCCCAACAATACTTTCCGTGCAGTGGGAGAAGCTTCCCATCCACCACTTGACTCACACACTCTAGAACGATTCCGGCAACTGATGGCGAATTTGGCAGAAGCACAAAAGGCGAAGAGCAAAGCGAACAAGCAAAAGAAGCAAGAGGATCGCATGGCCAAGAACAAGTCAATGCAAGATCAGTTCAAGCGTGCCGGGAGGTATCTCGGTGTTCGTGGCTCAATCCAGGCTTCGTCTTCATCTTCCTCCTACCCGGCAATCGACCCTTCCATGCCAGTTCCTTTCCCTTTTGATCACGATGTCGTTTTTGTGTGCGTCGATGTTGAATCGTACGAGAGAGCTCATCACAAGATCACCGAAGTAGGAGTAGCTACACTGGATACTCGGGAGCTCGTCGGTGTCCCACCCGGCGAAAACGGTGCGGCATGGAGGAACAAGATCCGAGCCCGTCACTTCCGCATCAACGAATATAAGCACCTACGCAACACCGAATTTGTCACTGGCTACCCCGACGGTTTCGATTTCGGTAAGTCAACCTTCATTCCCCTCAAAGAAGCTGCAGACCACGTCGCAGCCTGCTTCCATGCCCCCTTCGGAGCCCAAGACGGAGATGGCTTCCCCAGTCATCATGATCCGACTGAGAAGCGCAACATCATCTTCCTCGGGCACGATACTCTTGGAGACGTCCGCTGCCTGCAACAGCTCGGCTACGACCCCATGAAGGTAGAACATATTCTTGAAGCTATGGACACCGCAACCATGTACAAAGTCTGGAACCGAGACCCACAGCCCACTAGCCTAGGCAGAATCCTCTTAGCATTCGATATTTCAGGCTGGAAGCTACATAATGCGGGTAACGACGCCGTGTATACCGTGCAGGCCATGTTAGGTATCTGCGTTAAAGAGGCGACTCTCCGTGGCTCTCTCGAATTGGACGATATGCGCAAGCAAGAGAAGGAGAACAGACTCAGAGCTAGGATCGAGGAGGCTGAGCAGAGGGCTAAGGATGAAGCAGAAGGCTGGAGCGATCATGAGGCCGTTGGAGATGGCGGCTCACCGATTCCTCTTGCTTCTGCCATTCCGCCAGTATCGAAGCCAGTACAAAGTAAGGCTAAGCCTGTTCCGCAGTATGATGGCGCTGGAGAGGATCATATTGGGCCGTCTAGTGGCTGTGAGGCGCCTGATGAGGGTCATGGGCAGCGTGACAGGGGAGACCGTGGCAATGATAAACAGGGAACCTCGAGCGAACATGGTCAGGTAGACAGTGGCGGTCGTGGCCAGTCTAGTGGAAGTGAAAGATTGAGAGGACGGGCTCGTAATCTGGTCCTTGGACGTGGTCGTGGTCGTGGGCGCTCGGAGTTGCCAAAGGAGGAGGCTGTTCCAAATGTGCAGTATCATTGGTGAGCAAGGGGATGAATACAAGGAGCTGCACGCGCTGAGGCCTTGTCGGGCTATGCGGCGTGTCTTCCAGTCACTGGGGTTTCAAGGCCGGAGGATACGATTTAGTACTGGAGATTGCTGAGCATGCTTCCTATAGCTGAATTCGAACACGACCATAACTTCTGACTTTGTCATCCCTTCCCGATCCTATGCTTTACGAGGGCGTCTTCACCCACCCCCTTCAACCCACCCGTCAGACACTAAACCCATCAACTTAGCAGCCGCTCTCTTTAGCTCAAACAAATCCTTGCAAGTAGCGAAAACAAAGCGATCAGGCCGCAGGATAACGAATTGCTTTCTATCCGACTCCCGCCAAATACGATCCGGCTCATAGTACTGCGGCTCTGGACGCCCTTGACAAAGTGGTGAAGCTGCAAATTCTTGGCCTGTTGCTAGACGGTAGACATTCGGGTGTTGCGTAGGCAAAGTCCAGCTCGTTTGGATCATCTTGGTAGTCTTCAAGAAGAATGTCGTTTCAGCTGCTCCCAACATACCACCTGAGACGGACTCAATATCATTGAGCAGTGGCTGGATGCGATGGAGGTCCAGTACACCATCGATGAAGATAACAAGTCGGAACAGCCCCTTTTTCCCTTGTCCGAAGATGACATCGTCGGTGAACCTGACCCCCTTCTTCTCCTCCTTTTCGGTTACTCCCACGCAATACACTTGCGGGAAGTTCTTCCCTCCCCCACTTCCACCCGGCAAGAAGGCCATGTTTTCCCTCTCTTGCCACTCATACCTGGTCAACCCCTCCTTTCGATTTCCTTGTTCCAGCCATCTCTTCCAACTCGGCACCAACTGCATTCCCCAGAGATACCAGTCCCTCACAAAGATCTTGAGCGAATCCGTTTCGCAGACATACGCTCCGTTTTCAATGGTAGATGCGAGCGAGTGGTCGAGTTGTTGTTTGCGTTCTGTGTACCAACCTTGCAGCAATCTTTGGTGGTTGACATTGCAAGTAGTAGGTTGTTTGGAGTCGGCATAGGGATGATGATACGACTGAGGAGGCGTTTGGGTCAAAAGAGCAAGACGCCAGGCAAGTCCCATTGCATCCCGAAACCCACTCGCAATGCCCTGTCCCCCGAATGGCGGGAAAACATGCGCCGCATCTCCAACGAGCGCCACGCGACTCAATGCCCACTTATTACAGCTCCGTGCCGAGAAGCTGAATGGGCGGCAACGCAGAACCTCGATACAATCCAATGGATACCTTACGTACCCGTCAAGACCATACTTGCTTCCAGGGTGCGTGATATACGGGTATACCACTTGCTGTATCTTTTCCCGACCAGCCATGTCCACCCCATCCTCACCCTCCAAAACCACGAATTCAAACCGCCAGAGCCGGTCGGCGGGCAGTCCGAAACGGCCACACACAGCCGCTCGCTGCGGGTTGCACAGGAATCTGAAATCGTTGGGGAAGAAGAGGTCGTAGACTTGTTGGGGCGTGTATCCCTGGCGCCACAACGGAAAGTCAGGATGCGTGTCGGAGTTAGGCAGCGAGATCTTCCAGTTTAGAGCGACCCAGGTTTGCGAGTAGGCTGACGAAGTCACTTGGTCTAGGGTGATGCCGCGGGGTTCGAGGTAGTGTTTTCGTGTGAAGCCTGTTTTTCCGTCTGCGCCTACGAGGAATTTACTGCGGAGCTGCCGTTCTTGTCCAGTGGGCGAGGAGGCATAAGTGATGTAGGTCCATTCTGTATCTTCTCGAATCGACGTTACTGTTGCCCCTAGTCGTAGCTGGGAGTGTTGTGCTTGCTCCATCTTGCATCGAAGATGTTTCTCTATAGCTGGTTGCTTGTGGCATAGGAAACCTGGATGTCCTGTCCCTCCTTCAGTCTAGATGCAGTCAGCATGGCCACCTTCTCCCGAATCTTGTCATGGTAAAAGACAAACCGTGTTGTAGTCCATAACCATGAAAGGCTCTCTGCCAAGCTCATTATGAATACCACTGATGAATTCGAACTTGCCCATACCTGTGCGGGTCATCACAATGTTAACACTCTTTCCCTTTCCCACCTTTCCCACGCACACATCAGAACAGCAGAGAAGGGAGCACACAACATACATTTTCCGATATCTGTGAATACCTTGTCATAGATACCACAAGCCTGCAGACAGCGTATGCCGTCTTCGTCTAAAGCGATTCCACGTGGATCTGTATTAACACTTTCTTCCTGTTCAAGGACTATGTTGCGCACGCCGTGTTTAGCGAGGAGGACTGATAGCATGGCGCCTGTTGGCCCACAGCCACACACCACGACATCTGCGGTTTCAATCTCCATTGTGGATGACATTGCGTGTGCTGTATGGAGCAGAAGGATCTGGTTTTAGAGGTTTGTGTATTGTTGCTTCTTTTCGTTGCTGCAGGAACGGAAAGGCAATCATTTTGTGTTCGTTATACATGAGCAAGACGATCGTGGAGTTGGCTTGAGCGAATGGAAAAAGTGGAAATGTGTGAGTAGTCGGGAGGTTGGTCTTGCGATACGAATACGAATAGTGTGGATGTATTGATGTAGCAGACTACCTAGGTAGGAGGAGGAGGGCATGACGTACATTGTCCCGAGTTTTCTTGGCTCTGCTTATGTTGTGTTACCAACCCCGCATGTCGCCTGTACATGCGCGGAAGAACGACTAAATGCGAGGCATGAGTCGAGCATGCATAATCATCCAAGGGAACGTGGACGCCTCCACATTGCGATATACCACGATTGTGAAAAACTCGGTGTCTCCAAAATGGTTCAAAGGTCCATCACCACATAGCACACTTTCACCCATGAGTAATAAACACCCAAGATACTCCCATGCTAAAAGTCCGCATCATCGACGATTTTCTTGGGTATTTCCAGAGATCAGCACCCTGTTGTTGCTTGTTGGATAAGCAATGAGGAAAAAGAGATACCTTGGAGACTGCCGTCTGGCTAGTCTCTCAACACGCCCTCAACAATCTTCATAACCTCCACCAACTCCTCGTCCATCATACTCTTCCCCACAACCTGCACGTGCGTCGGCAGACCCTCACAGTCATTCGCGTCATCTGTAGCAAGACACATTAGCCCGGATCATTTCTTTCACCGTCAACAACAACTTACAAGGTGGTTCAAACTTCACTCCCTCTTTCATAAACTCCGCATCCTTTTCCTTCTCCGCCTTACCCACGCGCAATATCCCACTCGGCCAATTCAACAGATTCACCACCACCGTATAAATCGGTATACCATACGTATCGTGTTTGGGCGCCACACCCTGGTACCCAGGCATTAAAATGGCGTCGAGTCCCTTCTCCTCCACACTAACATCACCAACTACCAATCGATGAAACTTTTTGACAATCTTGGCTTTCTCGACATTCATATCCCACAACTCGTCCAATGTCGCCTGCCACCCTTCCAATTCCGGAAACGACATTGTAGATAGACTGGGTACCATTGGCTCCCCGCTCTCTTTGATGAATTGGAAGGGAGTTTTCTTTGGATCAAGCATAAAGAACTTCCACGCTAGCATCGTTGTATGGTACAAATCTGGTATCTTGTCGTCTAGCAAAACGATTTCATGGCCTGCTGCTTTGAGTTTCATAGCAGTGGTATGCAGACCGCGCGCGACAGGGGGGTGAAGCGGTCGTTCTTTACAGGCACGGATCAGACCGAAGCGGAGGGGTTTGCACAAAGGCGAGGAGACACTCCGCCACGGCACATTGAGGCAGTTCTCGTCGAAACGGTACGGTCGTGCGCTCACCACGCTCTTCATGAATAATTCGTAATCACGCGTGGAACGACCACAAGGACCAATTACCACGGGTATTGACCCGGGGCTGCCGAGTCTCCCTACTGCCACGCCACCGGCGAAGGGAACGCGACCCGCAGTTGGCTTCAACGAGGATCCGCCACAGCATATAGCGGGGATGCGGTTCGAGCCCGCGATATCGGTAGCGACGCCCAAGACGCTTCCTTTCATGGCGAGCAGGGCGCCTTCGCCACCCGTGGAGCCGCCGGCTGTGCGGGAGAGGTTGTTAGGATTCAGAGTGCGGCCGAAGATGTTGTTGTGCGAGTCTGCTGTCATCATTGTTTGGGGGAGGTTTGTTTTCACGTAGAATACTGCACCCAGTTCATGGAGAACGTCGACCAAGGCTGAGTTGGTTGCTGATGGAGGCCGTGGAATGAATGAGACGTAGCCGAGGGTTGCTTGGACGCCGCGGACGTTGAAGGAGTCCTAGGTAGGGGTTAGTATGGATGGGGGTGAGATTGCACTACTAGAAGAGATGAAGCAGAGGTAGGAGTAGGAGAGGGAGAGGATCAAGTGGAGTAGAGGTAGAAAAAGAGGAAAAGACGTCCACCATCCTCCCCTCCACCCGGATTGAGATGAGACTAGATACCTTTAAACTTATTGGAAGCCCATGCAAAGGACCCATGACCTTGCGCTCCTTGTTCAAAAAATCATCACACTCCTTCGCCCGCGCAATCGCTTCTTCAAACATAATCTCAGTCAAACAACTCACGCACTGCTGTGCGACAGCCGCTCTCTTACAAAACGCCGTCACCACTTCCGTACTCGTCAAACGCCGCTCTGCCATCATTCCAACTAAATCCGTGGCATCGTAGTTTTCAGTAATGTCCAACTCCTTCTCAGTCAAGATGCCGCATGTCCGTGGTACGTCCAACACGGAGATGGACGAGGTTTCTGTATATTGTGATGTTTGGGGGGGAGGAAGGAGCCAGTCTTTTGGAATCGCTGCAAAGACTGATTCGCGCTTTGATTGTGCGAGGGTCTGCCAGTCGGCTATGGGCGGTGCCGTGGTCGTGGCCATGGCTGTTAGTGATGAGTTGCAGTCTGACTTGGACTCCTGGTATCGAGCTAGTTCGCGTCGCGACTTGGAAGGATGAGTAGAAGAATGTATTTTTTGATTCGAGAAGAGCAAAAAGCAATAGTGATGGTGTAATACTGAAGACACCCTGGTACTACACGCTGTTGATGAGGGGCTCTGAGGAGCCGGCCGAGGTTCCCGTGTCGGAAATACGATCGGAACTGGCCACGTGGGGAATGTGGGTATAGACTGGGGTAATGCAGCTGCTGTATGGAGTTGCTTTTTCCAGCATATGGAGCGGACCGTTACTCATAGAGGATCCATCACTTCAATTCCATCAATATCTGGAGTCGAAGGGTACTGCGAAACCTACATAAGCTCTACAATGCACAAGTGAAGATGATAATGTAATGTCCGTCTACGACTCGATAATGCCCACAGTTGAACAAAGGCTGCGCTGCAAGGTTTGGTCCTTCTGCGGCCCATGTTCAATCTCTCCTCCTCTCGCTCCTCTTGTGCGGTGACCTGCTCCTTGTATCTCTCCGACGTCTACGGTCTCTGGAGAGTGACCTTGATCGCTTCGCATCGACGTCAGGTTCGCGCTTGCGCTCTGTATAATCTTTCCTTCGCTTATGGTCGCGGCTTCGCGATCGATGTCTACGTCTGTCATCGCGACCACCGTCTCTCCGCCTGTCGCGCGACCGTGAGCGATCTCGGTGTCTATGTCTTCGCTCTCTGTCGCGTGAGCGACTCCGTGATCGATGCCGTCGCCTTCGCTCTCCGTCATCGTCCCTGTGTCTCCGCGAACGTTCCTTCTTCTCCCTCTTCTTCGCCTTGTCGTCATCCTCTTCCGCCTTGACCTTCTCGTCCAATGTGTCTTTGACATCTGCCTGGTGTACCTTCTCGCCCAGCGGCGTCAGGTTTGCGTTGTTGCGTACCGGAACCGGCAAGCCCATAGCAGCCAGCATCGCGTCCTCCTCAGCCTCCTTCAGCTTGCGCTTCTCTTCTTTGATGCGCGCTGCCTCGGCTTCTTTGGATTCTTCGTCGCCTTTTGCATACCAGTTCAGGTCACGTCCTTGTTGCCAGCGACCAACAGGCGCCATGAGCGAGTGGCCGAGATAGTTTTCGCGTTGTGCATCGTTCTTGACGTCTTCCCATTTGAAGTCGGCGCGACCGCCGCTGCGCAATGTTAGTCACAGGCCCCGAGTCAGTTGTAATGAGCTTACCGGCTTCCTTCTTTGCGCACCGTTTGTACGAGATCCATGGTGTTGGTGTGTCGTGGTTATGCGATGGAGAAGATGGCGCAAGTGAGTTGCGGCCAACACGCGGATGTGAGAGGCCCGTGCCACCAATGGCTTCATTACCAGCCTCAAAGAGCTTCCAAACACAATCACTCTTCAATCACGATTACCGCCAACATGCCTCCGATACTTCCACCCCCCGACGAGCAAGAGTACGATCAGCCCTTGACAATCGATGGCCTACCGGGCCGCGACCTGGCCGCTGGAAACAACCTCTTCTTCTATTTCACCTCGTCGCCATGGTTCGATCCGGAAGACTGTATCAACATAGCCATCTTCACCAATCTCAACCTCCAGGATCCGGCCAATGCCCAGACTATTATGAATGATCCAAAACTATGGAATCAGCGAATCAAAGAGACACCTAAAGGAATACAATATGTCATAGCAGGTGAAGGGCAGGGCGAGGGTCACCCATGGCTACTCCAGCGGCAACACAAGGCCGAAGTCACAAAGGATGATGGCAGCAAGGAGATCGGCATGTTTGTCGAGGGCAACTGGTACACGCATGGAACAAAGGTCCTCATGGCGCCGAGCTTGCTGGACGTGGTGCAGAGTCGATTGCTCACTGTTGCGACGCGCATGGAGCAGATGGCTGAGATATCAAAGAACATGACGCACTGGACACCTGCAACGGGGTACTCGTACTTTCCTCCCTCACATGAAACTTCAAAGGCTGCGACGACGGCCAGTCGAATCGGTAGTCCGACACTGGCGCCAACGGACCCAGATGTTGCAGGCTCGCAGTCACAAGGCGCCGGAGCGGGTGCAACTTCACAGACAACAGATCCACTGGCATCCACCACCGAGTTCTCTGATGCGTTGTTCATGCATTCCCTCAATCTCACAAACGCGTATGGAGACGAATACATGGACGAGAATCCACTCAAGGGCGAGCCGGGCGCGTTTGTTTTCGAGGGCACCAAGACTGCTGTGAGCGCGAGGAACAAGGCACAGGAACAAGCAGCGCAAGCATCTCTGTCTGCACCGCCCGCGGGACTGAAGATCGAGACTCAGCCACCGAGCGTGGCACCGTCTGCTGTGGGTACACCAAGAGGGGTAGCGACGCCGACTACTGCGGAGACACAGGGGAAGAAGGGGGCTATTGGTGCTGCGCCGAAGAAGAAGAAGGATAGAAGGAAGAGCCAGGGTGGACTGACGAGTCCGACTACGCCGAGTGTGCCGTAGAATGGTCGTAAGAACTAGATGTCGTCCGTTTCCTTGTAATGATACCCCGACTGTGCACAGGTCGAAATTCAATCACCACTAAAAGCCGTGTTTATCGTATTCGCCATGCGCTTGACCCTTTTCAGTGACGCATGAATCTTGATCCTGATAAGCTCACGTCTAGCCAACCGGAATAGAATGTGCTTGCCATATCCAACGCCTCTCGCTTCATCCCGAACACCGAAGCTGCGAAGTCAGCAACGTCAGGCCTCCAAACGAACGCTCTATCGACATTGCCTTTGGTATGTAAACAGGCGGTATCCTCAGGTTCCCTCTCCAGACATTTCGTCCCTGTTCCCCGAGAAAAGATGGTTCTTAGAAAGGTTGTCACAACATACTCTCAACCCAACACCAGTCACCACGAAGCACAAGATACCGTCATCGACAATCCAAACCATGAGATAAACCCCAGGAAACAACCCCAAGACTTCCTCCCCGTCCCCAACCCAATGCCCAGCTACTGGCTCAAACAACCCCATCCCTACGCCAAACTCCGCACAACACCGCACCTCCCCGTCTCCTGCGACATCGCCATCATCGGCTCCGGAATGGCTGGTATCTTGACCGCCTACCATATCCTACAGACCTCCCATGCCAACTTTCTCAAGGCTGGTACACCCATGCCTCGCATTGTCCTCCTAGACGCACGGGATCTCTGCAGTGGCGCCACAGCCCGTAACGGCGGGCACTCAAAAGTCAAAACAGCCACGCTCACCAGTCTCGCGGATGGCGCTGCCAGAACAGCTTTTCAAGACTACGTCCATCGCACCCACGTGGAGCTGAAAGCACTCGTCGACGCCGAAGCTCTCGCAGCAAAGTGCGAATTCGAATTACGTCGCAGTTTTGATGTGTTTCAAGACAAGGAGGAGTTTGAGGGCGTGAAGATGGCATACGATGAAGATGCGAGGGTAGGGCAAGGTTGGACCAAGAGGACGAGCGTGGTGCCTGGGGAGTGGGTGGAGAGGATCACAGGGGTGAGGGGATCCGTCGGGGCGTTTAGCGTTGAAAGTGCGAGTTTCTGGCCGTACAAGCTTGTGTGTGGAGTGCTTGAAGGAATGGTGGAGAAATTTGGAGAGGTATTGAATGTACAGATGAATACGGTCGTGACTCGACTTGCCTCTTCCCCATCGACAGCCAGTGTTGAGAGGACGTCCCGCGATGCCAGTACTACCACCACCACCACCACCCGAGTGGTGAACGTCTTGGAAACACCCCGAGGTACTCTCACGGCGAGAAAAGTGGTCCTCGCAACAAACGCGTACACAGCCTCTCTCCTCCCTTCCTTCAGCAAGACGATCGTACCGTACAAAGGCATGAATAGTCACCACGCGCCTTCTCCATCCGCATCATCTTCCTCGCCCCATTCAAACCACACCAGCCACGCCACACAATCTCACTTAAACAACACTTACAACATCCACTTCGCTCCACTATCCCCCAAACAACCCACCGGGTGCGACTACCTAAATCCCCGCCCGGACGGCTCCATCGTCGTCGGAGGCGGCAGCTGGTTCTACCAGAACAAGCATAACGAGAAATACGACAGTGATGATGATGATAGATATGCCTGGCTCAATACGGTAGACGACAGCACAGAAACTGGACATTTCCCAGCAGACGTGTATGCGCACTGGACACACTACATGTCCAACACTTTCCTCAGCCATCCTCCTCCGTCTTCTTCTTCTCGTTTCGAACCAGATAGTATCTGGACAGGTATCCAGGGTAAGACGAACAATGGTATGCCGCATATCGGACGGGTTCCTCCTCCTCCTCCTCCTCCTGACAAAGGAGACGAGCAGCAGCAGCAGTGGATGTTGGCCGGTTTCAATGGCGGAGGCATGGCACTGATTCCCCTAGCAGCCAAAGCAGTGGCGAAGATGGTGCTGCGGGATTTAGACTTTGAACATGTGCAAGACGAGTTTGGACTGCTAGAGGGCATGGGCACAGGGGATGCGAGGATGGTGTCGTGATACTACACACACACACACACACACACACACATCGAGGGGAAGAGGTAGGGATACATGGGTGGGCAGTGAGTGGCGTTGGAGTATATATACACACACATACACACATTAGGAAGGGTGGTTGGTATGACAGCAGCAGCAGCAGCAGCACCTTCCATTCCAGCTGGCTAGACACAAGCTTATCGGGATTGAGACGTTAGTCTGCGGGAGGACAATGGATGGTAGGGAAATAGCGGTTATGGCAAGACGAAATCCAGCTTGGAATTTAGCCTCTATACGCACACCATGTACGTCCTACGGGTTGATATCTAATTACAAATACGTAAGCTATTAAATCTACAGGTATATATATACACAATTTATCGAGTGGAATAAGAAAGTTGTCTAGTTGAATGGTGATAATCACCCTCTAGTTGATTGATTCAAAGAGAAACATGCGATCGTCACTGATTTGCAGGAGGACGTAGAAATGAATGGGTAAATCCCGGATTCCTTTGACTGAGGGAATCTCCGACGGATACGAGTCTTGACTAACTAATTTTCATCCCTAAGAAGCGAAAAAAGGAAAAAAAAACATAAACTCCATCCCATATGCCGCTTGCTTGTCCCCTTTCATATTTATGAGAGCCATTCTGCAAGTAAATGAGTTTGACGGAAGCCTTCATCAGAACAAGTTTCTTTGTTTCAGCCGCCCACCATCGCCAACAAATGCAAGAGTCCCAGACAATGCTCAACACCCAAGAAGTAACAAAGGAGAGATACCAAGACGACAAGGTAGAAGTAGCGCTCGAAAATGATGAGTGATGTTCCGTCGTCGGTGAAGTTGAGAGTAGTGAGGTGTACAGCGTACATGTTATAAGGTTAGAGAGGAGAGAGAGATAGGAAATGGTATCTCTAAACAGCTACAATTTGAACGTGGAGGGTTGAAGATTGGGGGATGCGCATCGTAGGACTCTCGCTACAACGTATTTCCTCAAAAAGCAAAAGCAAAGAAAAAAGGGATAAGAAAAGTTGTCAAGACTACAAGTGGCAGGTCATAGTGCCTTACCACACCCACTCAAGGTCGCCCAAGTCGTCCGTGACCTGGGCGTGATGATCGGCATGAGAGCGCCAATCTTTGCTCTTGTACCAGTTGTCCACCTTTTGCTCCCAAGACCCGACGGAATTCTTGTTCTCGTTGTGGCCGGGACCCCAGTTGATCTGACGCATGCCAGTGCCAGTCCGGCTCCGCTTCCGGGCGGAGGTCGGGGGTTGAGCCGACTTGGGAGACCTCATAGGCTTCGATGGGGTCTGCTGCTGGACTTGTTGCTGAGCCTGCACGGCAGGACTACGACGGCGGTCGCCGAGAGCAGCCCACTTGTCGGCAGCGGAGCGCTTGTTGGCCGGCGCAGGGGTGCGATGCTCCTCAAAAACGAATCCAGTTGCAGCGCTGACATGGTCGACTGCATTGCGAATGTTCTTGGGGGAGCGATCCCTGCTGTTGTGAACGGTGGCAGGGTTCTTGACCTCCGACAAACCGCCGCGAGGGGTCGACACACCTGACCCGGCTTCAGAAACAACAGCCTTGGCCTTGGACGACTTCTGAGCTCCAAAGGAGTGGCAGTTGTTCTCAAGCTCGGCAAGGAACTGTGCGTCATCGTCATCGTCCTCCCAAAGGTCACTCCAGCTCTTTGAGAACACGTCACGCTTCTTACCGAAGACGGAAGACATGCTGTTGAAAGCCTTGGCAGGGAGTGAGCCAGAGATAGGAACGGGCCGAGATCGGG